TAAAGTTTTATTGAAAGTGATGAGAGAATTAAGGAAATTATCTCATTAACTGAAATGAAGGTGGAATTTTGCTTCAATTTTATCTCACTGACTTTCTTATTAGTGACCCAGTAGTTCACTAATCATACTAAAATGCAGTTGTCTCCTGAGATTTTATATCAGCCTATTAAATCGAAATAAAATGTGATCAACCAATGAGGAAAATGTGTAAATCTTAGGGATTCTTCACACAGTCTCAAGAAATACTGTACAGTTTGTCATTCTAGTGACATGATTTTATAGAATCATACCACTTTGATATGGTATGTTTCTTCCCCACTCTCTATCCCCTCCCTAAAAAGATATGATGACTTAGAAGTTACAGCTTTAATAGTTTAGAAAAGCTCTTGTAGGAAAAGAAATAACACAATGAATTACTACATACTTTCATATAATTGTACTGAACAATATAACTTCTTATTCAAAGTAGGTGCTAATCTTCTGATGCTCTCACTTATCAAGGTAATGTGATATCCATATCATATGAATTGAAAGTAGTTAACACAATAAATGCAGTCTTAAAAGAAGGCCAGGATTTTAAGTGGTCTTGGCACTATGTTATTTTTTTTAAAGTTAGGCATGATCCTTCTTATGGCTAAGTTAGAACAAAAAATGAATGGAATATTGATCCTTACCAAAGGGTGAGACTTAGTCTTCAGCATGGATCATAACCAAAAAATGAGGCACACAGTAAATGAAATTCCAAGTCAGAAACTGTTTTTATACTTTTTAGAATCTCTTTATAAAGTGGAACACATTAAAAATGAAAGCATGGGAATTACGAATACAGAAAAGCAGTATAAGAGCTTAAAAGAAAGGAAAATACGACACATCGTGTGATAAAACATAACTTATTTTAATTAACTGGATACACAAGAAATCTTATAAAAGACCACAAGGGATTGAAAAATTACTTCTCATGATTACAAAGGGAAGTGATCTTTTTGGATTATTTCAATGTGGAGCACTTGAAAACAACAAAGAAATTTCTGTTCAGTGGTAAATGTCTAAAAAAATCATTCTTTTTCTCTGAGTGAAAAATAAATACAAGAGGGGTATAATTCCACATAATATCTGATATTTTTACCACCTGGACTATTTCAATGTCTGCAGTGAAACTTAGATACTATTCTTTATATTTAGAACAGCAAAGAATTACAAGGCCATATAACAACTTATTTTTAAATAATAACTTCTGCAATGTTTGCCCTTCCTATTCTTATTTCATAGCTGTATCTGAAATTACTGTAAGATATTCTATAATATATAAAATAATAAAATAGCAATGTAACTCAGGCAATCAGGTGACAGTTATTTAAATTCTTAAAACCTGCAACTTATATTTGGCAGGAATAATATTCTTTATATTGGATTTTTTTTTTAACCAAGCAGTAAATATTTTGGTAAAGTAGCTTCTCCATCTTCTTATAATTCAATGAAGTATCCCATAATTTTCAGCGTGATCCTTACTTTTCCACATATATTTACATAAGTATTTTTTAACTGGGTCACAACTGGTACTCTGTGATATGGGAAAATAAAACATGTTCTCATTTTTGTCCTATTAAATTCCAATTTTATTCTTTCCTGTAAATGCCCTAGTCTAATGCCCTTTTAATCAATTTATCCTTAGTTCTCATTGTGGGTTCTTTTTTTTCTCCTCTCAGAACTATTAACCATAATATTTCTCCAAGGATATAGCAGTATCTTTCTACAGGAAGCCATATTCCCTCATTTGTTTCATGTGGGAGCTTGATGGCTTCATTCAAGTTTTCCCCCAATTCAACAGAGTTTGTTTTCTCAATAAAAACTATCTTTTATATGTAAGTATGGCACCATTGACCAACGACCTAAGAATTAAAATAATGGCTAACACGTATTAAGCAATTACTATTTGCTATGGCACCCTGAAAATCACTTCACATGCATTTTCTCTTTTAATCCTCAAAACCACTCTCTCAAATAAGTATTGTTGTTCTCTCCACTTTTGCTTTTTAAATGGATAAACTGAGATAATGACAGATTTAGTTATTTATCCAAGCTCAAACAGCAAGTAAGTAATAAAGCTAGACTGATGTGAGGCAGTCTGAGTCCAGAGGCCATCATAAGTAGGGCATGATCACCTACAATCTTTCAGACTGGTGTTGTGAAAAAATTCCCTCTGATATTCCAAGTATGCACCACATACACTGCCGTTTAAGTCTAAAACTCTGAGCAATTAGATATTGTAGAATTATTCCACGTTAAAATGAAAGTGCCCTAAGAGAGCTACCTCTCTTTAAAATCTCAGCTTAAGTAACCTTATCGGAACATCTCCAGCGGGTCTAAAGGAGGCAAGTTTTACCAGTCATCAGAATAGAACCAGGGTATTTCCTTGGAATGAGAAATCAAGGTTATTTGCTATGTTGGAAGAGTGCTCTCAGAATAAAAAGCTTCAAATCTTCAAGAACTTCAAGACAAAGAGAGAACTATGATGTCCCTCACGAGTTATATATAAGCATCTAACATGTGGTGGGACAGGGTAGGTGCCTTCTCTTTTTAAACTAATAATGTATTTAACTCTCTTCATCGAAGGCATCAAATAATGTTTATAAAAAATACAAAAACTGGGGCGCCTGGGTGGCTCAGTCGTTAAGCGTCTGCCTTCGGCTCAGGTCAGGATCCCAGGGTCCTGGGATCGAGCCCCACATCGGGCTCCCTGCTCAGCGGGAAGCCTGCTTCTCCCTCTCCACTCCCCCTGCTTGTGTTCCCTCTCTCGCTGTGTCTCTCTCTGTCAAATAAATAAATAAAATCTTTAAAAAAAAAAAAAACAAACTATGGGGTGGGGAATAATCTGCGCTTTAATAAATAAACAATCCTTATTGAAGGTAGCAGTTAAAATTAAATTTGTTTTTAAAATCACTAGTTTTGGGATAAAGCAAAGGAAAAATTTCTCATTTGGACATCGGAGGACAGTATCTAGTTAAATATAAACCAGAAAAATACATTCTAAATGGAATTTTCATCTATTGTGCAACATTTTTACATTGTTTTAATACAGGCTATCATATCTTTCCTGCTTCCATTAAAAGACAAGTTGGATACTCATTGATCTTTCTGGTGGCACCATACATAGGTATCATTATAATATACCATACACCTACTGCTAGATATATAAAATCTTCATAGGCATGAAACTGTTTACCGTTTCATACTCATATTACTACACAACTTCTGTAGGGGAATAAAAGATAGTTGGTGAAGTGATGAATAGATGATCTTCAAATAATGATTAGTTATGGGACCATGGGAAAATCACTACTTGGGTCTCAGCTTTCACTTCTCTAAAATGAAGTCGGATTAACTTTACCACAATGTGTCATGTTAAGCTAAAATCTACTACCATGCTGTGGAAACGCTTGTCCAAAGCAGACAGAGAGGTCACACAAAAAAGTTCTCCATATGTTAAAAGAATTAATCAGAACTAGTTCTCATAGAAGACTACTCATACCCAGGACTAGGCATGGGTTAGTATCAAAAGATAGTTCCTTATAAGAAAAATATTTCAGGGGTGCCTGGGTGGTTGGTTAAGCATCTGCCTTTGACTCGGGTCACCATCCCAGGATCCTGAGATGGAGCCCTCCATCCGGCTCCCTGCTCAGTATCTGCTTCTCCCTCTCACTCACCCTCTGTGCTCTCTCTCTCAAATACATAAAATCTTTAAAAAAAGAAAAAAAGAAAAAAAAATTCATTACCTTGGCCAAAAAGGAGGTAAATGAAACAAGTGATAAATACCATATTGGGAAGGACAAAAGTAAATGGGGGAAAAACACACAGAAGGAAGAGGAATAATCAGAATGAGCTAACTAATGAGTTGGATCACCTATCTAATGAGTTGGATCACCTCACTCTAGCATTATTCACAATAGCAAGTACCTCAAAGTATTCTTGACTATCAAGTGGAATAAAAGTCACTTTCTGGCTAAACTGTTCAATCAAGAAGTTTGAACGAACTGTAGCCCATTCTGTTGAAATAAATTGTTAGGCTGAAATCACAAATGTTAACATATTAAGATATCAAGGGCTCTAATTCCTTTCTTGTCTTTTAAATCGTCACTAACATACTTCCCATTTTAAGAAAGGCAGTCTTTTAAAATCTATATATTAAAAATAAACACTAGCCAAGAGAAGCAACATTACCTCAAAAAATGCTGGTAAGCTATGAGAAATTCTATTCAGCAAATTAGTATTTTCACTCAGATTTTCTTGTTGCATTTCTCACCGTGAACAACTCCAGCAATCTTAATACCCAAATTTCAAAATTTCAAAACTGAACACTTTATAGTCATTATAAAGTTCACAAACGCATCTGCAGCACTCAAAAAGAACGAGTGCAACTGCCTTAATGTCCGTTCGATCTATAAATCCATTTACGTATTCAACGACATCGACGGTTTCTGCTTTTAACAAGTTAGCAAAACCTGCGGAGTGAGGAGGCTCTACACAGAGTAACCCGTCAGATCAGCGGATCACAGCCCATCCCAGCAATCTGCCCGGTTGGATTACCTGCCGGGCGGATAAACCGGACAAGCGGTTTGCCAATAACACGTGAACAGAATTTTTAGAATTACGCACGACCTTAAAACACGCGCTTAACTTTAAAACCCGTCCCGAGGTGATTGGAGAACCCGGAGGCCCCTACCCAGGTGCTCTGGAAAGTTCCAAGCACTCCGAGTCGGCGGTCCACGCGGGTCCGAGCACAGAACGCTCCCACCTCGCCCCTCAAAGACGCCCGCCACGGAGCGGCAGACCGCGGCGGGAAGAAGGGGCAGCCCTGGTGCCCCGGTCCCCGAGGCGCGCTGGCGTCAGCGGCCGCGGCGCAGTCACCGCCGAGGGGAAGGGCGCTCGGTCTCCGCCGAGCCGCCGAGCCCCGGAGCCCGGCCGGCCTCCCCCTCCGGCTGCCCGCACGCGCGAACACCCACCTGGGGGCGCTGGGCCGCCGGAGGCCCGCTCCCAGCTCCCGCCCGTGCGCTCCGACGCCGCCGGCAGCATCGCAGCGGCCGAAGCCGGGCAGCCTGCGCACAGATGCCCGCCGAGCCTCGGACTCCGCTGCCGGAGCTGCTCCGCGAGCTCGCCTCTCGCCACCGCCCCTCTTCGGAGCACCTCCGGCGGTTGTGGCCAGCGGGTCCGGAAGCGCAGCCCCGGGGCTCAGGCCACAGGGCCACCGCCCGGCCTCGCGGGGAGCCTGAGGAAGTGAAACTGCCCTGGGGCTTGCGCTCGCCTGCTTTCTAGGCTGCTCAGGTTCTCCCAACACTTTCTGGTCCCGTTCCCTCCTCACCTTTTCACTCGGAATACCTAAGAGCAACGTTGCCTGTTTCTCCAGCTCTTGACCCATGCTAGATCTTCCACCATGCCCCCACTTCCTGGAAGAAATAGGGATACCAGAAGGAGACACTTGCTGGGAAAGGGGAGAAATAGATAAATAGATCTGGTAATTTAAAGATAGAAAGATGCAGATGTAGACATACAGTTGAATGTTTTTAATATTTCATTTTGCCCACACTTTGTAGCCTATAAAGTGATTTAAAATCCCGTAGAAAATTTATTTCCCTCTCCTGCTCCAAGACAGAACTGGTTCCAGGAAAAAATTAGATATGGATTGAAATAGGTTCTCCAAATAAGAGTTTACTTTGCTTGCTTTGAAGACAGAAATACTAAGACTTTTCCCAGAGCCTTAATATAAATGTCCGTTCTCTCAAGATCTCTAAATCAGTAATATACATTTTGAAATTGAAAATACTTTTGAAGATCAAATTGAAGATTTGGTAATAATTCATGGCTTAAATGTCCCTCTCCCTCTTTTTAGAAAATAAATCTAAAAGGGAGAGCTGTGTAGCAACTATTTATCTCATGCAAGGTCTTTTTTAGTATCCAAAGTATCCAAAATGTTAGCTTTTCTCAAATAACTCAATTTGTTTTTATAGTTTATACCATAATGAAGAAACCCTGGAGGAATATATGAAATGACGACAATTTTGAAACTATCACAGATGTATTTTTGTGCTTTCCAATATTTCCTTTAATGTCATTATTAACTTGAAGTTGATTTTCTGTATTTGAATTAATATAGCAAGAGATTTTATCTAATTCATGAAATAATATATTGAGAACTTTGTTGTCATCTATAAATACCTGTTTACTAAGAGATCTCAGTACAATAAGGTAAAGACAGAGGGTTTGGTTTGCAGGGAACATATAAACCCTTGGAAAATGTTTTTAGAAATTCAATTCTTAGGAATATGTGAGTCTTTTTAAAACAACCCACTGGGGAGACAATGTCCTAACTGATACATTTGCATATATATTCATATATGTATATGTGTGTGTGTCATATATATATATGCATATGTCTGTGTGTGTGTCTCTCTCTCTCTCTATATATATATATAGTCTTAGACTATATATTCTTCACAAATACTTCAACCATGATTTTGAGGAGGAAGGAAGAGACATAAACATTCCACCTTATGCTTCCCAATTAAGTGTCCAAATCTTCAAAGGCATCTCAGTTTGTTCCATGGAAACACACAATGCTCATCCCCTCTATGCGCACAAAGATTTGTTAATAAGGATAGTCTCCAGAGAGCAAATTGTATCTGTCACATGTATGGAGTCACTTTCCTGTAGGAAGAGCCTTGGACTGGAAATCAGAAGGCTATGGTTGCCATCTTGCCTCTCCACCTTGCTATCTGGGCAACCAGGGCAATTCTGAATATTGCTGAGCCTTGTGCAATCACTAAATGAGGAACTTGAAGTAATTATATTCAACTCTCTGCTAGCTATACAATTTTATGACACTGTCTTCTCTAATACACATAGAATAAGATGTAAAATACACAGGAAAATTAAGCATATTTTCAGATCATCACTTGGACAATTTACATCAATATAATTCTGGTAAATGGAAAAATGAAAGCAAAAATGTGTTTAAAATTTGGGGCTGATTTTTTTTTTTTTAAGATTTTATATATTTATTTGACACAGAGAGAGAGACAGTGAGAGAGGAGGGAACACAAGCAGGGTGAGTGGGAGAGGGAGAAGCAGACTTCACGCTGAGCAGGGAGCCCGATGTGGGGCTCGAGCCCAGGACCCCGGGATCATGACCTGAGCCGAAGGCAGACGCTTAACGACTGAGCCACCCAGGCGCCCCTTGGGGCTGCTTTTTAAAAACTATTTTATAAGGCTTTGTGCTAGAAAATACTGAAAAATCCTCCACTAAAGTTCAAAAATTATTCCAGCTTTGTTTTTGTTTTAGGTATCTTGTTCAAAGTTATGAAGTAATGTTGAGTCCCTTTACCTGTTTATTCTTGTGTTTCATTACCGTTGCTGTTAGCAGCTACCCTATTGTGTTTTGTATTCTGTGTGCCAAACACTATGTAAGTATTTCACGATGTTCATATCCTTTGATTCTCAAAATAATGTGGCTTTAACCATATTTTACAAATGAGGATTCTGAGTTTTAAAAGGTTTGAATAACAGAGGTAGAATTTAATCCTAGATCTGATTCCATAGCCTGCCCTCTTATAATCCTCCCCTTCCTTTTAAGGTTATATAAAGTCATTGCTAAGGATTACATGGACATCATGGGCAAGGTTATACCCATATCCATATCGAAAAAGTTGCTTTTGTGTTCCTACCTACTTTCCCACAGGAAATAATCTCATGGAAGTAAACATCTGTATCTTTAAGAATAGGCATGAACTGCACTCATAATTCATTATAAGGTTGCCGCTGTTTGGTTGAGGGTATGTAGACATTGTTTTCACAAAGACAGGAAAATGTGTAGAGATCACAGATACACAGAGATGCTATGGCCCAAGTCTTACATGTATTCTAACTGCCTGTGCATTTACAAAAAGATATTTTAGAAATGTTTTCACTCATTTGGTCTTCTTTCTCAGTGTCAAGCACGTTCTTTAGTCACAGTTGACTTTATTTTCCTGTGTTTTCTCCCTTAAGGAAATTATACTGTCTGAAATGTTGGGTTTCACATTTGTTCTCAGGGAAGAGGCACTCAGTAATTCTCACACTGAGATGCTTTTTCAGGCAGAATGCCACCAGCAGCATGTAATCACAGATTTCTGATTTTACCTGTTACAGAATGACAAAAAATGCTAGCCACAGTTGGTTTCTTGTTTCTCAATATATCAAACTCTTGGATCCATTGACTTCTTCCCTTGTATTCTTTTTCTAGCAGCATATTGAATGCCTCAATATCATTACCCCACTTGGTGAAGATTATAAGAGCCTCATGCTGACTCTGTGTTCCAATAAATGGACAGCTAAGGCTATTCACTGTTGCCCTGTTGCAGTTGCTATGGCTGATTCCCTGTACCCTTTGCAGACTGAATGCTTTTGCTAATGCTGTTGACTTCATTTCTACTTTTAGATTCTGGATCCTTTTAAAAAATAAAACTTTTTTTTCCCCCTAAGTAACCTGTTATAAAAGCGAAATAGTATTTTGCTTCTTCATGGTTCTATATTAATGGACAATTTTCCTTTTGAAGAACATGTCCAGATCTTTAGACAATGAATTATATGTTATTCTCATAGGATGTTATACTTCTCATTTGCTAGCTCAAAACTGGATGAAATACTCGAAGGTTTGAAGGAATTTCCTAGCAATAAAACTTATTTTGTTGTTATTGAGAGGCTTTCCTCATTTTCTTATCTTTTCCCAGGTTTAACTTAATTATTTAATACTAACCTGTGTAATGGTCTCCCTAAAGATGTCCACATTTTAACCCCCAGAACCTGTGTATATGTTACCTTACATTACAAGGAAGATGGGACTGAGTTAAGGATCTTGGCATGGGAAGAGTAAGCTGGATTATCCAGGTGGACCCAATATAATCACAAGGGTATTTATAAGATGGAGGCAGAAAAGTCAGAGAGGAGACATAGTGAAGAAACAGAGATTGGAGTAATGTGCTTTGAATATGAAGAAGGGGACACAAATGAAGAAATGCAGGCAGCCTCCAAAAGATGGAGAAGGCAAAGGAAATGGGTTCCCTGCAGAGCCTTCAGAAGAAACCAGTCCAGCTGACACTCGGGTTTTACCCAAGTAAGACTGATTTTGAACTTCTGACTTCCAAACTGTAAGATAATAAATTTGTATTATTTTAAGCCACTAAGTTTGTAGTAATTTGTTATAGCAGCAATAGGAAACTAACATACTAACTTGTGATAAATTGCATGTTTGGGGAAATTCATTAATAAAAAATGTATATTCTTCTAAATAAACATATATTAAAGAACAGGCACAGCAAAATACACATTTGTTTCAAGTGCACATGGAACATTCTCCAAGATAGATCACAAAGTAATTATTAATAAATTTAAGAATATTGAAATCATATTATGTATCTTTTTTAACCACAAGAGTATGAAACTAGAAATCAATTACAAGAAAAAAACAGAAAAAACACAAACATGTGGAAGTTAAGCAACATGCTACTAAACAACAAATGGGTCAAGAAAGAAATTAAAGAGAAAATAAAAAATACCTGAGACAAATGAAAATGGAAACACAATGGTTCAAAATCTTTAAGATGCAGGAAAAGCAATTCTAAGAGGGAAATTTATAGAAGTATAGTCCTACCACAAGAAATAAGAACAATCTTAAACATTATAACTTTACAGCAAAAGGAACCAGGAAAAGAAAAGCAAAGCCCAAAGTTAGTAAAAGAAAGGAAATAATAAAGAACATAGTGAAAATAAAGTAGAGACTAAAACAAAAGATCAATGAAACTAACACCTGAAAAGATAAACAAAATTTATAAAATTTTAGAGAGACTCATCAAGATGAAGAGAGAAATGAATCAAATAAAATCATAAATGAGAGAGGAGGAGTTAACTGTAAATTTTTTTAAAAGTATGAGATCACTATGAAAAATTATGCCAATAAATTGGACAACCTAGAATAAATGGATAAAGTCCTAGAAACAAACGATCTTCTAAGACTGAGTCAGGAAGAAATTGAACATCTGAATAGACTGATCATTAGTAACAAAATTGAATTGATAATTTAAAAACTCCCAACAAATTCCTGGACCAAATATCTTCACAGATGAATTTTATCAAACATTAAAGAAGAGTTTAATATCTATCCTTCTCAAACTATTCCAAAAGACAGAAGAGGGAGGAAAGCTTACAAATTCTTTCTATGAAGCTAACATTAGCCTGATATTAAAACCAGACACTACAAAAAAAAAAAAAAAAAGAAAGAAAAAAGGAGATTTCAGGCCAATATCACTGATGAACA